ATTTTAACTCCAAAGTCAAAGGGGAATCACTCTAAATTTCCATTTGAAACATCCATGAAAAAGATCACATCGGCAAAATTGGATAACGATAACACTGATGCTGCTTGTACATCATCAACGGTTTCCACAGCATCAACATCTGCTTCTGATAACATTCATGTGGAAACACCTGTTTGCACAAAAATCAACAGAATACAATCATTTTGTGATCGAATGACACACGAACAAAATAACGAATTGAATATTTTGCTTGCTAGAGCTATTTACACCAGTTCAGCACCACATTCAATTACCGAGAATGAAGATTGGAAATTGTTTTTTAAAAAAATTAGACCTTCATACACCTTACCATCGAGATATATGTTATCAAATCGTCTCCTGACCGAAGAGTACGAGCGAGTTGAAGTTCAAGTTAATGATAAAATTAAGCAAGCTGACAATTTATCATTGCAATGCGATGGTTGGTCCAACTTGCGAAATGAAAGTGTAATTAATTTCATTGTTACAACACCCGAACCGTTATTTGTCAAATCAGTACTAACAAAAGCAGAGAAGCATACCGCAGAATATATAACAAAATTAATGGTTGAAGTTCTGGAGGAGTATGGACCTAAAAAATTTTTCGCTATTGTGACTGATAACGCAAAGAATATGAGGAAGGCTGTGAGACAATGTGAAGAGATGTATCCCCATCTTGTATCATACGGCTGTTTAGCGCACACATTACATTTATTGTGCAGCGATATTTTGAAATTATCTTCAATAGAGACACATTTGTCACATATTATACATATCGTTAAAACTATTAACCAGTGTCAAGTACTGAGAGCTCAATTCACAGAAATAAGAAATGAGATGAAGTGTGGAGTGTCTCTTAGCCTACCTGTAAAAACAAGATGGGGTTCACATGTAAAATGTCTTCAAGATCTGACTAAATGCAAGTCCGTCCTACAACGTCTAGCAATATCTCCAGATAAAACAATTCAAGATAGAATACGCAGCGCAAAAGCAAATTTACTTGATGAAGGATTCTGGATAAATTCTAGCGCTCTTGTTGAATTGCTTAAGCCAATTACTGAAGCAATAACACGTCTTGAAGGAGATTCTTCGTCAATTCATTTGGTTTGTGAAACTTTCGCGAAAATCGGTAGTAACATATCTACTCATTTAGAATGCGTGAAACTAACGGATTGCGAAAAAACAGAAGCGATGGATAAATTTATATCAAGGAAGGAATACGCCCTTCAACCGATCCATTTTGCCGCAGACTTACTAAACCCTCGGTCTGTTGGTGCAAATTTATCATCAGCCGAAAGGATTGAAGCGATGAAATACATTACTACTATGTCAACCACGACCACGATAGAGATTGGTGATGAAGGAGTGTCAAAGATTACTGAGGATTTAGGAAACTATTTAGCTAAAACAGACTTTTTTGGCGAAACATTTTTATGGAACATACTCGATAATGTCTCTTTGGTTACATGGTGGAAAGGATTTTGTGGACATTCATGCCTCTCCAAAGTTGCAGTCAGGATATTGACAATGCCGTGCACTTCTGCGGCAACAGAGAGAAGCTTTAGCTCCCAGAGCAGCATTCATACGAAGAGAAGAAATCGCCTAACAACTCAAAGGGCAGCAAATTTAAATTATATACAATATAATTCAAAATTGCTGAAACGTTCACGACAACATCACATACAAAGTCAATATCCTATAGAAGAGACTGTACAGAACAACGTTTCGATAGAAGGTAGAAACTTACAGAAGGAGATAGAAGTAATTGAAAACCATATTTCCGAAGAGGAAGAATTAGACGAGGTAATTTTAAATTTAGGCATTTTTTAGATATGTGATATGTGCATGTGATATATGCAGTTTGCTTCTTTTCCGATTTTCCAATGCATTCCACCGTTTTCGAATAAAAAATTATAAATCTTATGTTTTCAGACAATATCATCATGGCATTCAAATACAACAGGAAATGGAAATTCCGACGATGATTTTAATTTTGCTGACTTTGCAATGACCGATGATGAAATTGATCAAAGAATGGAAACTAGGGAACAGAGACCAGCACGCATTTTGAGACAAAGCAAAGTGAACATTTTAGAAAACGTCTTAATGAAATCGGTAAATTAGTGTAAACACATACATATTTATTGTTTATATTCCAAAATTATCAATTTCAGGGTAAAGGCACAGAACAACCCCAAAAAAAAAACGGAAGTCGAGAAGGATACTTCAGATGCCGAAAACAAGGTAGTTAGATCTGTATATATTATATTATAAACCCATTATTTTTACTCTCTATGTTTACACTTTCCTATTTAATTTCAGGATGCAGTTCTGGATTTGCCGGAGATAAAAAAAATTACACAAGGCTCATTGGAAGAGCAAACAATTGAAACTTCGACGTTTTATAACAAGAAGGTCTCCAGTTGTCTGCGAAAAAGGAAGTTGTGATTTATAAAAGCCGCTTAAAACAAAACTAAAGAACCTATGTTTTCATTTCTTTATTATTTGTATGTATTTCTTATCCACTTTTCTTTATTTCATAAGTATGTAGTTACTTTGTGTTTATTATATTCAATATGAATGCAAACAATTGATTTTTTAATACAATGAACATAAATTACATAAGTTACATAAATTACATCTGGTTTGTAATTTTTGGGTAATTTTACACGTGTAACTTACAATTTCTGAAATTACACGTAATTTCACATCGCTAATCGTAACTTAACCACTATATTCATAAAATGTTGTAGTATTGTAACAAAATCTTCTCCTTGTGAACACATGTTTATAACATCTGGTATAATTTTAAATAAAAGAAGAACGCGATTAACAAGAAAAGTTGAAAAACTTATGTTTTTAAATGTCAATTTAGACGATTCGCGATTTAATAATGTGTAATGTAAATGTAAGTATTTAAGTACCATTTGTATTATTTAATTTATTTTTCAAGTTACAATAAATATATCCTTCGTTAGGTTCTTTTATTTCAATACTTATACACATAAACGATAATAGCCAATATGTTTGTGTACTCGCTAATTTGAATACTGGTAAACAATCAACTAGTTACAGTTTATGAAAAACGGTTCCGATAAAAATTAAAAAAACGAGAGGACCCACCTCTAGTTTTTTAGGTATATTAGGATCGGAACCAGAGAATATCTGATCGGAACTAATCGTCTCACTAATGGGCAATGGCCAATGAGTGTTAAAAGGATTTTAGGAGGGGAGACGAAGGGGAAATATGATTGTTATCTTTGTCTAATTCGCTTGAAAATATGATTTTATATCTGCGTTAGATATCCTGTTAAATTTTACCATACCGACCATAAAATTTTACCTACACTGTATATATATATATATATATATATATATATATATATATATATATATATATATATATATATATATATATTATATATATATTATATATATATATATATATATATATATATATACAAATAACACAGTTTATTAGGGTTGCAGTCAGAATATTGGCCGGATGTAAAAAAACACTCTTTGACTTTTGTCGAGCTTTCGGAATGGTTTTATTCCTTTTTCAAGACACTGTAATAAGACAAAAATGTAAATATTTAAAAAATATCACAATTCTTCAGTGTACTACTTACTAGTCGTTGAGATTATTTATATAAGCATTGACACTCAACATTTATAACACACATTAAAACATTAAAATATACAATTATGGACAGAATACATTATAAAATTTTTAAAATTTATTGTAAAAATAGTAGTAAAACTTGGTTGATAGCATGTTTTACTGGTGTATATTAACTCATGCAGAGAATGGAAAGTAAACACTGTAATTAATATGTGTTTACTTTCCATTCTCTGCATGAGTAAATATACACCAGTAAAACATGCCATCAACCAAGTTTTACTATTTTTACAATAAATTTTATAATGTATTCTGTCCATAATTGTATATTTTAATGTTTTAATGTGTGTTATAAATGTTGAGTGTCAATGTTTATATAAATAATCTCAACAACTAGTAAGTTACACTGAAGAATTGTGATATTTTTTAAATATTTACATTTTTGTCTTATTACAGTGTCTTGAAAAAGGAATAAAACCATTCCGAAAGCTCGACAAAAAAAGTTAAAAGAGTGTTTTTTTAACATTCCGGCCAATATTCTGACTGCAACCCTAATAAACTGTGTTATTTGTTTATATCGACAGTCAATAATATCCAGTATTTCTCATATATATATATATATATATATATATATATATATATATATATATATATATATATAATATATATATATATATTATATATATTATATATATATATAAATATATATATATATATATATATATATATTATATATATATATATATATATATATATATATATATATATATATATATCAAATAAAACGAATCATGCTAGGTACCAGAAACCTTGTACCAAAATAAAAGTTGTAATATTTTCTATAAAATATAATACCAATATTCTGGGAGTTCTATTTAAAAAAAAAATGAGAAAAATTTTGTGTTTACAAATAGTGATCACACTGTATACTGTATGGATAGATGGTATTAAATAATTTAAAAGTTTTATAAAAATTTTGATATATTATTTAAATTTTTATTACCTTGGAAAACCAATACAGCCCTTTAAATATTACCGATTTTCTTAAAAAAAGTATAAACATGTCAAAAATTATTAACTTTGGGCTAATCTTTTACAAAAACATCACATTTTAAAAAAATACATTTAGAAATGGTTTAATATATAGTCTGTCCCATTAAAAAAACTTTGGTTCATTCCGATGTTCTGACTGACCCTGTATAATCGAATATAATTTTAAGTTATAGACGTCTTTGATCTACATCAGTTTTGTTTGAAACATGTTTTTATATATTCTATAGTTTAGCCTTAATTAAAGAATGCCAGAGGTTTGGCAAACTCATTTATAATAATTAGTTTTATTTTTAAAAATGACACAAACCTGTAATTTCTGGTAAATGGTATTGTTTATCATTCCATTCCAATAATGCGTTGACGTCTTCCTTCTTCAATTTACTATCACTTGCGTACACTTCCTCAATTGTTATTTCTTTACAAGGCATGTTTTATTGTATGTAATCTAAACAAAAATGTCAAATATAAGAAACAATGTAACAGACTTGATTAACGAGCTATCTTTCTTACAAACATTGAGAAACATTAATTCATGATTGAATAAAAAAGACTGAACCAACTAAAATATTCGCAACAGGGCTATAAAAATGTAGAATTTTACGACTATCACATTTACGTAAATATTTATTATATGTGCGTACTATAAAGCAAATATTAACATACTAATTATATTAAATCTAAGAATTATAAAACTATTACTATACATCTTTATGTACAACGAAGAAATAAAACTTCATAAAGGAATGAATGAAGTGAGTTGTTAGCAGAAGTGAAATAAAGATCAATACAAGGATTATTTATTTATTTAGCGTATGGCTACATCACAGGTTCATATATATACATATAATATAAATTATATAAATTACAAACAAAAGTAAATACAAAAATATTATTCTACAAACAAACATCTAGATTATAAATATATTCGATTGACTCTTTTGTAGCAGCCAGGAAATCTGAAGGGTTGCCGTTATAGGATCTAATCGGGCATTCCTCTACCATGTGTTTTACTGTTTGCCTTTCGGCGCCGCAGTCGCAATTTGGTGATTGTATTTTTCCCCATCTAAAAAGTGAGTCGGAACATCTGCCACAGTTCGTCCTTATTCTATTGAGTGTGGTCCAAATTCGTCTCGGTTGGTTGAAGCCCTCAGGTTTGCTTGTAATACATGACATGTTCCAGTTAGCTGGTGCAGCGTTATTCTCCCTATAACATGGGTGGAATTTATCCCCCAGCGGCATTCATGGTACACATAACTGTGATGTTTCTACCCTTCTCTCCACTGTTTGCAAAGCCCACAATTTTCGGGCCTTTGGTAGCTAAATTTTTTCCAGGATCCTGAACTGTACTAATTCCCGTCTCATCGGCATTGTGTATTTGTGTTGGATCAAATTGATATTTTATCATTAAACTTTCTAATAGCTTATAAAACAAGTCCACTTATTCGTTATTAAAAGCTGTTAATCTGTTTAGACTCGTGCCTTCTGCTTTGCGTATGGATACTGTTGGATTTCTGCGAAGAAGACTTCGTAACCCCTCGACACCAGCTAATCCTAAGCAGACGTTAAAATTATGTTAATTATGTTTTTTTCAGAAAACTCAAATTTCGTTAATTTCAACCTTACCTTTGTTTATCCCTGCTCGTCGGTCCAGACTATAGATGCAGTCTTTTTGTTCATGTATCAGAGGTTTACAGTGCAGTTCCTATCACTAGAAATTTTGGTAAGTTCAGTTTACAACTCAAGTGCGTTTTAGTGAAATCAAGGTAACTTTATTTGTTTTAAACTTTTAAAATAAAGATAGACTTTTTTTTCCAATTGATTCATTCACTTCACATTCTAATTCATTGCTTCATTCACTTATCCACGACCACGGCTCTCCAAATAAACCCTGAATGCGGTCGCATAAGTATCGTTTATTTTGCTTGTCCTCTCTCCACCCCCATTAATTTCTGTCCCAAAATTTCAACCTCCATAGTATTAATAATTTATTACTTATATAATTAATAAGTAATTAATATTAATAATAATTTATAAATTATATAATTAACAAGTAATTAATATTAATAATAATTTATAAATTATATAATTAATAAGTAATTAATATTAATAATACCCTATGTGGTAGGTAAAATATTTCATTACAATTTGGCACCCAAACGTTTGTGGCCTGTTTTTTCGTTACAATTTGACGCCCAACGTGGCTAGGATGTTTTAGATTTGAGTCAAATTATATCTTCGTTACAACCGTAGTTCAGGAAATGTACAAATATAAACGGTAAATATATTAATAATGTCAGGTATGCTGACTATATAGTTCTGACAGCAGAGAAGAAACAAAAAAATTACAAAATATACCAGACAGAGTTAATAAAGCAAGTGAAGCAATACGACTAACAATAATTAATCTTCAAAAAACTAAAGTAATGGTAATTAGCAAAACCAATGAAAATTGTCGTATGAAGTAGTGCTAAATGATAAATGGAATCAAGATATAAAAATAAAAACATAAAGAGAACAGGCCAGGCACAAGTACAATAAATGGAAGCAAATTATCTGTAACCAAAAACTAAGCCTAGCCATCCAAGTTAAAGTTATTACGAAATGCTACGTTTGGTCAGTCCTTCTGTACGGAGTTGAAGCCTGGACATTAAAATTAAATACCATGAGACAGCTAAAAACCTTTGAAATGTGACTTTATCGAACAATACTTAGAATATCATGGAGACAATACATTACGAATCGAACAGTATTAAACACCATAAATAGAGAGTTGGAACTTGTAACAACGATTAAGAAAAGAAAGATCTCGTTCCTAGGCCACATAATGAGAAATGACAAATATAATCTGCTACAAATAATAATTTAAGGGAAGATAAAGGGCCGAAGAGGATTAGACAGAAGAGCCATGTTATGGCTTTGCAATATCAAAACTTAGACGGACATGAACGTGCAACAATTACTGAGAGTGGCGCAGAATACAGAACATTTTGATGCAGTGAATACAAACCTTCAGTAATGGAGTGCACCAGAAGAAAAACAACAAGAAGAAGAAAAAGAAGATGTCTTTCCAATTTAATTTTTATGATATATAACCATGTTATGATTTTCTAACAAGTTCATCAGCTCTTTCATTACCATATCTTTCCCGGTGTCCTAAAACCCATACCAGTCTGTTATGTTCCACAAGGTTGTCGAGTTCCCCTTGGCATTCCCACACTAACCTAGAGTTCAAAAATCTCTGCCTGAAAGACAGAGGTATATTCTCCTAATGAAATAGAAATGTTTAAATTTTTATCAAGACCAAACATTCCTGCACCCTACTGCAGTTTTACCTGTCTGTATACCAGGTATAACCCTGAAGTTTGAATCTAGTATTTCCTCTGTTCCACCCCTCTGGTGGGCAAACGTCGATTTGAAAAGGTACTTCAGGCCTAGATCTGGTTGCCGTATGGTCAGAAATCATTATCCATTCTGTATTGGTGTTTCATTTAGATTTAGAGAACCCAATCCTTTCAATTGTTTCTTTTTGTAAATTTTATGATTTTGAGTTTCTGGGGTCTTATGAATTTTTTAAATTGCCATATTACCAGACTTCAGTTCGAGCCTAAGAAAGTATTCATTGTGGCATTGTGACTAATTGTGGCAGGCAGCGAGGGGAAATTTTTTTGAGAAATCTATTGTTACGGAGCGAGACACCCTGGCATTTGCTAGTCGAGTATGACACTAAACCAAAAGACCCCAGGGTACTGCCAGATTGACCGGCAGGACCCTGGGGTCTGTTGCTGCTAAAACCAACCACCGCTCCAGAGTAGTGGTCGTATCTCTCAACGAAAAACTAAAAATGTATAAATTCACCATCACATTAAACTAAAGAATAGCTATAGGCATAGGCTTAAAGAATAACTATATTATATCAAGAAAAACTTACAATTAACTATATTTATCATCATAAATATAAAATCGGAAAAAAATAGTTCAAGAAATGCCTCTTACCAAAAGAAAACAAAAGAAATAAAATATTTCCTTGAGGGCTTATGTTAAGTCCTGCATTTAAACGAAGTCTATCCTGTACCATTAAATTTGCTGTGGGTCAAGATGACCAGGTCATCCGTATGTCTCAGATATGATTCCTGTCGTCGATAAGTCTAGCTGTCAGCCGATCCATGACCAGATTCCACAAGAGCAGAGGCAAAATTCCACCTGTTGATAACCTTTATGGATACCCCCCAGTAGATACCTGTCACTATATCTCTCTGTAAAGTTACATAATATCACACGGCCCCTCAGCATACATTCTATCCGTCTGTGGCTTGTTCCTTCTATTGCTTTTAGACAAATTGCCCTTATAATTGCTTCGCAAGAGGTATTGTCAAATGCTCCCTCTATATCCCAACTCTCCCTCTAGTCCAACATCACCTCTTGGTTATCCAGAACGTAGTCCACCACTGTACCAAATGGTGCAGTACCGTTTTCATACAGAGTCCTACTCGATATGCATACTGTTCTTTATGTATTAAGTTTCAACCAATACACCATCCCTAATACGCCTATCGAGTAGTTTTTCTAGAGTCTTTAGTATGAATGACATCAGATTTATCGGCCTTAGTGACTTTTTCTTTCCAGTTTTACCAGGTTTGGGTATAAAAGCCACCCTTATTTCCCTCCATGCTTTTGTTATATACCCAAGTCCTAAGCTAGCCTATATACATAATTTTTTATACAGAATGTCAGTTCTCTTCTGTAGAAGTTTTGTATAAATCCCGTCTAAACTATGTGATTTATATGGCTCAAATGAGTGCATTGCCCATTTGATTTTGAATACGTGAGAAAGAATGCAATATTTTATTTGTAACCAAATTTAATTCTCGTTTTGGATATGTCACATCATGTATACATAACACCAAACCACTGATTATCGTGGTATAAATAGTTAGACAACCCTTGAATTGTGCTATACCACAATGTTAATAAGTGATCTAATCGTAATAAGACCTCTTCATGGCAATTTCAATTAAAATAATAGCAAAACAAAAACTAAAAATAACCTTTGCTAATAAATGTAAATAACCTTTGGTGACAATTAAATAAATTTAAATTATTTAAATATAAAATGTACTAAAAACTATTAAAATGAATTTAATGGGAAACATCATGAATTTTCAATATCTTTCACAAGGACAGCCGCCATCGGTATGTATAACTAGTACAATTTTATAGCAAATTTAAAAGATCGACAAGATCAAACTACATTTTTATTTCCGGTACAGGTAGAAAAAATTAAAATTTAAATATATAATTTGTTGCAACAAGATGCAAAAAATGAAAACAGGAAAAAAGATCAAATGAAGTATAATTTGAACTTAATAGACTTAAAATTGTGCTAACGATCTAAAAAATGAACAATAAATAATGAAAGTTCATCTAGAGGTATATAGGCAAAGCCAG